GTGCGGCCATGGGGACGCTTCTGGCCCTCCTGGTGGGCGCGGCGCTGGGTGAGTGCCGCGAGGGGACACGCGCGATCCGCGCTCCGGACGCCCCCCGCCCGGGTGGCTCCGGCCCCCGCCGAGTCCCAACCTAGGAAGTTGTGCTTGGTGTGGAGATTGTGGGTGCTGCGGGACGCGGGAGGACAGGAGAGGACCGCGGAGGTGCGAGGGGCCCGTGGGGGATGCTTGGCACAGAGATGCTGCTGCGGGCGCCGGGCCGGGGGCGAGGAGACGCGGAGTCAGCTGCTCGCAGAGCCCCACAGGCTGCAATGTGACACCCACAGCCGTGCTAGGGGTGGGGGAAGGCGGTGCCCGGGGACTGGGACCGGGAGAGATGGAGACCAGGAAGAATGGAGACAGAGGGAGAACTCCAGGAACCGGGATGCTCCACTAGCACAAACGCGGAGACTGAGGCAGTCAAGGACAGTGGAGGGAGTGAGCTGAGTCAAGAGCGGGAGCAAGAGGCAAGACAACTTGAGAGTGGCGGAAAGATCTGGAAAGAGCGTGAAGGGACAGATGCCTGTCTGGTGGTGTTTAAAACAATAACAGTAATAATAATAAGACAGGAAATAAACACAAAGTGCTGGGACCTTCAGATACCCGCCAGAGGAATAAGATGAGGAGACTGAGGCAACAGGGTAGAACTAGAAGTCCTGAAGAGCTAAAGAGGAGGTGGGGGGACAAGAAAGACCCAGAACTGGAGTTGGAGGCTCTGCTTCTTCAGCTAGTGAGTGGTGGGAAGTAGGAGGTGGGAGATTAAAGAGTGAAGGTGGGACCCAGGGAGTTTGGAACCCAGTGTTAATGCAAAGGCCCTGAGGCAGGAAAGAGCTTTTAGAAGCGAATAAGTTGGGGTGAAAGTCTGGCAGTGAGGGAGCCAGCAGAAGAGACAGAAGCAGATTGAAGAAAGGGCTGGGGTGAATTCCCCACCCACAGCCTTCCTTTTTTTGACCCATGGCTAGTTTTGCAGACATTGCATGGTGGAAGTGACCTTGAACTTTAGGAGCAAATGAATTCCAGAGCTACTGTACGTATGTAGGTACCTTGGGCTGACCTGAGAAAGCAGTACTTCAGTAGTGAAGACTGAAGTTGGTACCATAATAGCATCCTATTTCCTGAGGCCTCCCATGTCCACATTCTGCCCAGCAACTGCTGGGAATAAAGATGACCATTTCTTCCTCCTAACAGAGAGGGAAACTGAGGCTCCCAGAAGATGAGTGACTTGTCAAGATCACACAGTAAGGGATAGGCAGGACCGGGTGGCATCAAGTATCTGTTTTTAAAGAGGATAAAAGAGAAACAGATAGTTTCCACGGGGCAATGAGCCTGGCACCCCCCAGGGTGACTCCAGCCCCGTGACTCCACCCCTGCTGGCTGACCTGAGCATGTTATGTTCACAGTGTCCTCCGCCTGTGGGGGCTGCGTGGAGGTGGACTCAGAAACAGAGGCTGTGTATGGGATGACCTTCAAAATTCTGTGCATCTCCTGTAAGCGGCGCAGTGAGACCAGCGCCGAGACCTTCACAGAGTGGACCTTCCGGCAGAAAGGAACAGAGGAATTTGTCAAGGTGTGTGGGTACCTGGCTGGTATCTTGGGGGACGGAGCTGGCAGTGCTGCATCTCAAGGTTGCTCGCTTGCTTGCTTTCCGTGCTTGTGAGACAGGTCATTGTTAAAGAACTCAGAGCAGCTTCTAACTCTTGGCGATCCTCCTGCCTCAGCCTCCTGAGTGCTGGGATTACAGGCTTGCGCCACCACACGTGGCTTGTTGGTTTTCTTTAATAATAATGAAGATATGACTCTGATGGGTGATCTGGATTCAAATCCTTTCTCACTACAGACTTGTTGGTACCTTAAGGAAGTCTGAGCCTCAGTTCTTGATGGGGACACGATCTCTACCCCTCCCCGGTTTTTTTTTTTCTTTAATTGCATTTATTTGTATGTGTGCCCTGCATGAAATGTATGTGGAAATCAGAGGACAACTTTTAAGAGTCACTTGTGTCCTTCCACCATGTGGGTCTCAGGGTTGTTAGGCTTGGTGGTGACAATTCCCCTCTAAGCCATCTCGCCAGCCCTATCCCTCTAGGTTTATATGATGGTTGATTGCGTTGATGCACCTGGCATGTGGCTCCCGTGGAACAAATGTCACTGGAATTATTTGGCACCCGCAAAAATGTCTTGGATAGTCATAGAGCAAAATCAAAGAGCAAAGCCTCACACCCTGCATGTATTTTAAAGTGTTTATGGGGTTGGGGAGAGGGGCATCAGCTTTTTCCACCTGATGAAACTGGGGTTACACCACTCTGTCCCCTAATTCAGGGGTATCCCTGGTGGCTGGGGAAGAATTGAAGAGAATGAGGGGCTGCAGAGGTTTTGGAGGGTGACTGTGGAAATGTATGTGTATGTGTTTCTCAGGACTGGGGCAGTCAGGGCCAGCCATGGTCCCAGATGAGATCCTAACCCGCCTGTTCCAGGGTTAAGATGCCTGAGCCAGGGCTGGGGGTGAGGCTCAACTGGAGAGCACTTACCTAGACTCCACCAGTGACAGGTTGAGGATGTGGCTCAGTGGTAGAGCGCTTGCCTAGAATCCACCAATGAGCAGATGGGGGCGCGGCGTAATGGTGGTGCATCTGCCTAGAATCCACCAATGAGCGGGTGGGGGCGTGGCTTAATGGTAGCACGCTGGCCTAGAATGACAAGGCCCTGGATTCAACACCAGTTCTGCAAAAACCCAGAACAAAAGATGTTGAGCCTGTGTATCTGTCATCTGCCCTTGGGCGGGTCAAACTGAGGCACAGGATGGGCCAGAAGTATGGGAGACAGGCCCAGACAGTGACCTGCACTATTTGTCCCTGACCACCCCAAGATCCTGCGCTATGAGAACGAGGTGCTGCAGCTGGAGGAAGATGAGCGCTTCGAGGGCCGAGTCGTGTGGAATGGCAGTCGGGGCACCAAGGACCTACAGGACCTGTCCATCTTCATCACCAACGTCACCTACAACCACTCGGGCGACTACGAATGCCACGTCTACCGTCTCCTCTTCTTCGATAACTACGAGCACAACACCAGCGTCGTCAAGAAGATCCACCTCGAGGTAGTGGATAAGGGTGAGTCAGGCCTCAGAGCCAGATGGAAGGACAGATGGCAAGAAGGGGACAGGCTGGCCCCACACTGGGGCGGACCATCAGTACACAGCAGTAAAGGGAACAGCACCCCTTTTGTTCAAGCTCTGTTACCGGTGTTGTATGCCCTCCAAGCAGGTGTCTTCCTATCTCTGAGCCCCAGGGTTGTCAGGGACCAGGATGAGAATGCTGTCTATGATTTGGGGTATCTTTTTTTTTAAAATATATATATATATTTTATTGTCGGGCATGGTGGCGCATGCCTTTATTCCCAGCACTTGGGAGGCAGAGACAGGCAGATCTTTGTGAGTTCAAGGTCAGCTGGGGCTACAGGGAGACCCTGTCTCAAAAAGACAAAAAAATGTTATTATTTTTATGTGTATAAGTGTATTGCCTGCAGATATGTAAGTGCACTTGGTGTTGTGCAATGCCTGAGGAGGTCAGGAAAGAGTCGAATTCCCCTGGCACTCGAGTTACAGGAGTTATAGGCAGTTGGGAGCTGTTATGTGGATGCTGGGACTCAAACCTGGGTTCTCTACAAGAAAAACCAGTACTCTTAACCTCTGAGTCATTTCTCCTGCCATGACTTGAGGTATCATTTGGGCCTTCTGTGTCAGCAGGGATTTTGAGGATGGTGCCCCATGCTGGCTGAATCTGGCAGGTGCTGGGCTTTAGACCTGCCTTCCCGTCTTGGTAGAGTGGGTGATGGAGGGAAGAACACCTCCAATTCTACCTCACCCTCCAACCCTCAGGAGGGCTTGTTGCTGGGCACTGCTTCCCCAAAGTCATTTCTGACCTATCTCAGATGAGGCCACCATTGTGGGGCTGGTCACAGCCAAAACTTGCTTGGGTTGCTATAGAACACGTCCCCACACTGGCTTCCTTTTTATTTTTTAGACAAGGTTTTGCTTTGTAGCCCAGGCTAACTTTGAACTCAGGAGCCTCCTGCCTCTCCTACTTCAGTCTCCTGAGTGCCAGGACTACAAGCATGCACCACCACACCAGCTAGACCATGGTCAAATGACCATCGGTTGGAATTTCCCGGAAAGGCAGGCAGCTATTCCAGCCCTGGAGGTAGCAAAGGGCTCTGGGAAGTGGGTCTCTGGGACCTGCAGCTCAGGGCAGCCACTCTACCTGTGACCTTGACCTTTGGGCTTTTGGTAAAATCCCTCACTGGACCCTCTCACCTGCTTCTGGAGGAAGGACTCCTTCACCCCTATTTCACAGATGGGGAAAGCAAGGCTCAGAGAGGCTCAGTCCTGTGGCCAAGGTCACCTAACTGGGCCCTGGATTTGAATCCAGCCCCAAATAGGGGCCGACTTGGTTCTGTTTTCTTTTCTTTTTTTTTTTTTTTAATGCATCTCTGTACTGCCAGCCAGAGCCTGTGGGATTCTTGTTATAATTAGTGTTTTTATATTTCTCATCAAAGTGGCACAGCAGAAGGCAAGTGAGAGGCTCCTCTGAGGGAGTGGCAGGTACATCACCATCACCATGCTGGATGTGTAATGGGTGGTGAACATGGAAGGTGGAGCCCCACCTGTGTGAGTGGGGTACAGCAGTGCTGCTGTAACAAAGACACCCCAGTACTGGATCTCACAAACCCTGGCTTATTCCTCCCTCAGCCAGTGCTGAGGATGGGGATAGAGGGCAGGAGGCTCTGGGAATGTGTCAAATCTCTGTTTCATGGTAGCCCTTGCTCAGGATGTGGTGGTTGGTCCCTGTCTGCAGAGCAGAGGTGATGGGTCAGGCCCTCTAGAATGCTGAGCCTGACTTTTATCCACAGTCTCTGCCCTATTGCCCCTCCCAGAACCTGCATGGGTGACTATTCACAACACAAAGCTTTTGCTGTTGTCTCTCCAGAGCTGTATTTCCAACAGAATCTAGCATGTTCCAGCATTTTCTACCTATGGTATTATATATAATATTGTGTCTTTCAAACTTTTTTATTATTTTTTAAAATTTATTTTGTGTGTGCGCACATGCGTGTGTGTGTGTGTGTGTGTGTGTGTGTGTGTGTGCCAAAGCACACAGATGGAGGTCAGAGGACAGCTTATGGGTGTCAGGTCTCTCCTATCATGTGGGTCCTGGGATCAAAGTCACACTGTCAGGCTTGGTGACTTTACCCACTGAGTGATCTCACTGGCCATATTATATTTTATTTATTGATTATCTATTTTTATTTTTAATATTTATTTATTTTTATTTTATGTGTATGAGTTTTGCCTGCATGTATGTAAGTCATTCAGGTGCATGTAGTGCCCATGGAGACCAAAAGGTGTTGGATCCTCTGAAAATGGAGTTATAGTTGTTAGTCACTATGTGGGTGCTGGGAACCAAACCCAAGTCCTCTGTATGAGCAGTCAGTGCCCTTAACCACTGAACCATCTCTCCAGCCCCTATTTATTTATTTATTTATTTATTGACTTATTCTCACTGTTTAGCCCAGGCTAACCTCAAACTCACATTCCTGCCCAAACAAATCCCCCTGCCTCAGCTTCCTAAGTGCTGGAATTATATATGTGTGTGATAGCCCAAAAGACTATCATGTTTTCAACATGACTTAATATATCCGGTGTTTTGTTTTTGTTTTGGGGGGCTTTTTGGGGGGTGGAAAGGTCTCATATAGCCCAGGCTGGCCTTGAACTTGCTATGTAGCCATGGATGATCTTAAGTCCTGCCTCTATTCCCTAAGTGCTGGGATTACACAAATGCACTACTGTGCCCAGTTTATTGGGTACTGTTGATCAAACTCCGGGCATGCTAGGCAAGCACTCTACTAGTGGGGCTATATCTCTAGCCCCTATTTTTGGCTTTTTGAGAAATGAGCTCCCTTTGTAGCCCCTGCTGGCTTCAGATTCCTGCCTCAGCCTCCCAGGTACTGGGATGAGAGGTATGTGCCATCTCTCACGAGATCCCGTTACTCTTACCCCCTGATGCTCTGTTCCCAGCATCACTCATCAGCCTTGGAGGCCCCCAAGGATGCACTGAGTCATATTCAAAAACAGGTGAAGGGCTGAACAGACCCCTTCCTAGGGGAGCTGTGGACGGTGGGAGGGATTAGCTGGGGTCACCCAGCACAGGTTGGGCAGGCAACTAGGAACTATGTGTGTGTGGCAAATGTCCTAAGCCTCACAGTGTCTGAGGTTGCTGGGAAATCTGGTGAGCAGAGGGGCCTCCATAATTGGAAGCTGGGGCTTATCTGTGTAGTCCAGCAGACAGAGCCTTTAGAAAGTTTCTGGTATTTTAAGAAATCAGAAGGCCAGATAGATGGGGTGTCTCAGGCCTGTCATCCCAGCTCTCCAGAGGCTGAGGCAGAAGGATTTCGAATTCTGACTTGATTGGGCTGTAGAGACCACTCAAGGCCAGCCTAGGCAACTTAGCAAGAGTGCATCTCAAAATAAAAAAGGGATGTGGCTCAGTGGCCCTTGCCTGGTGTGTATAAGACTCTAGGTTCAATCCAAGAGAGACAGAGAGACAGACAGAGAAAGAATGAATGAATCCCTGGGAAGGGGCCACTGTCCCTCCGTGTGGCCTGATGGGATCTCCCGCTGTCTCAATTCCTCATCTGTGAAGTGGGGGCTGCAGCAGTTCCTCTTTCTGAGATGTCCCTGCACCTTAGTGGAGAGTGCTTATCATCAGCTGTCACTGAGGCTGTCCTGGGCCACAGGAGGTTTCCAGAGCAGTGAACAGCTCACATCCTGAGAGCAGTTACACTTGGGGTTAAGTCCTGGCTCTGAGTGTATCTTGGTTGAATATCTTTGACTCAGCACCTAGCTGGGCCTCAGGGTCCTTGTCTGAAAAATGGGCTGCAGACATAAAAGAAATAAACCGAGTGTGGTTGCAGTGTGCTATAAACCTAAACATTTGAAACACTGAGGCAGGGGGATTGCAAGTTCTGAGGCTAGTCTGGGCTATATAGGGAGATCCTGTCTCAAACAGAAAAATAGAATTTAGCTTAGAGCTGGCTGGAGAGGGGTCACTCATCACATTAGTGATGTCCCTTAATGAATGAATAAATGAACAAATGAGCATCCAGTCCAGCCCCCTCCCTCCCTCTGACCCAGAAAGTGCCAGCACCATCCACACAGGATGGCTAGCATGAGGCTCACAGGGGAGGAAGACCTCATGGGGCCAGCAGCAGGGAAATGAGATCCCAGCCACAGAGGGGGCCGGAGACGCAGGGTGGACACCAGCCAAATCCGGTCGAGGACGCGCGCCAAAGTGCCCTTCCTCTCCAGTCCCCTGGCTGGACGTGCTCCCTTTTGCAGTTTAAATTTAGGCCCCAAAGGAGGCCGGGAACACAGGCCAGCTCTTTGGAAAGTATGGAGGGTTTCCGGAAAACAGCCACTGTTGAGCAGTGCTGGCTCCATTCCTGTTCCCCATGTTCCCTTGTTCCTCCTCTCAACAACTCTGTTTTCAGGTTTGTTTGTCAGAGAGGCACTGAGGCTCAGAGAGGGGAGTCATCTGCCTGAGGTTGCACAGCTAGTCAGAGACAGCCAGTTCAAATGCCAGCAATAGGCCCAGAGTGCCCACTTGTAACCGTCCTGCTGTGTGGCCCCAACTATAACGGTAATGAGAGGGAACACATGGGGCTGGGCTGGAAAGTTGGCTCAGCAGTTAAGAGCACTGGCTGCTTTAGAGAGGACCCAGGTCCACCCATATGGTGGCTAACAACCATTTGTTAACTCCAGTTCCAGGGGATCTGACGCCCTCTTCTGACCTCTGAGGGCACTACACGCATGAGATTCACCTATATACATGCAGGCAAAACATTTATATGCATAAAATAAAATAAAATAAAATAAAAATAGAATAAAATAGGCCATTAAAAAGAGGGAACAGGGGCTGGAGAGATGGCTCAGTGGTTAAGAGCGCTGACTGCTCTTGCATAAGACCCAGGTTCAGTTCTCAGCACCCAACAACTATCCATAACTCCAGTTCCAGGGAAATCCTGTGTCCTTTTCTGACTCTCACAGGCACTTACATACATGCAGGCAATACACTCATACATAAAATAAAAATAATAAATAAACTTTTCTTTTTTTTTAAAAAAAAAAAAGAGGGAACAGTTACCAAGTGTTCACAGGCCAAGCACTGTTTTGGAAGCTAGTTTTCTGTTTGTTTTTACAAGTGGGGAAACACAGGTCCAGAGGGCCTTAGTTACTTTCCCAAGGTCACACAGCCGGCAAGTGGCAGAGCTAGGATTTGAACCCACACCTTTTGGTTACAGAGTTGCCACTTGTAGGCACCATGCCTACCCCCTCCTGAATGTCACAGGTCACACAGTTAGGCAGGTTGATAGAGCCCTAGGTCTCTCAGAGTACCTCCTTACTACCAAAGGAGCAGGGAAGCCAGCATGATTATTTTGTTTGTGGCCCAGTCTCAGAGGATTGAGCCACTTGCCTAAGCTCACACAGCAAGTGTGCCATGCGCTGGGGCTGCTGGGTCTCTTGAGCCCCTTTAAACCAAGCTGACCCCTGCAGCCAACAGAGACATGGCATCCATCGTGTCGGAGATTATGATGTACGTGCTCATCGTAGTACTGACCATATGGCTTGTGGCGGAGATGGTGTATTGCTACAAGAAGATTGCGGCTGCTACAGAGGCTGCTGCTCAAGAGAATGCGTGAGTGGGGATTTTTTGGGGGGCGGGGGGCACACAGGGCTACCCAGGGTGCTGTCTGTCACTAACTAGAGCAGAGTGCCTGTGTCAGAGATGAGACAAGGAGTTGGTTGCAGTGGAGGAAAACAGAGGCCCAGAGACATTGAGTCACTGTCCCAAGATCACACAGCTGACGGGTAGCAAAGCCAGAATTTGAACCCAGGCCTTTTGATTGTGGAGTTACATCTCGTAGGCACTTGCCTCCATAGCTTCCTGAATGTTGCAGAGGTACCCCTGAGTTACAACAGAGAGACTTCACATTCAGATTTACGCCCAGATAAAAGCCCAGCCGGGCCCAGCCAAGCTGTGGCCCCCTTTCGTTTCTAACTCAGAAATCTGAGGGCAGAGATGCCAGCCTGCCTCATTCTCCTGAGGGTTGGGCCACATTGGTCATGGGGTGACTATCCACTCTGCCTTTCCCCTGCACAGCTCGGAATACCTGGCCATTACGTCTGAGAGTAAAGATAACTGCACAGGCGTCCAGGTGGCTGAATAGCCCTGGTAAGCAAGGTGGATGCGCTGGACATTGAGGACCAGGAGGGTTCAGTGACCTGGTCCCTAAGTCTCCACCTCTCCTTGCCCTGCAGGCCCTGGGCTCCACTTCAAGGACGAGCCAGCCCTAATGGGTAACCTCCCCCCACAGTGGGGATCAGCCCATTGGCCTCCCCAGCCCCACAGTTCTGCAGAGGAGCCACCAGGGTGGGAGGGGGCAGGGACTCCACTCCCACCTCACTCACTGCCTCCCAACCCACCCTCCCACCGCCATGCATGATGGGTGAAGCAATACAGCCCCCCACCCCGCTTCTGCTGCCTGTTTGGGGGGGCGGTGAGGTGGAGGCAGGCCCCGCACCCCTTCTTTTTGCTGATTTGCACATAGGCCGCTTTCTACACGCACTGCTGGGTCAGCCGGCCCTGCCCCACCCCTGCCTGATGGGGGTCAAGAGGGGGTTGGGACAGGGACAGTCCTGGGCAAGGGGTTCTGGGCCTCATCTCCCTCTGCTTCCTCCAGCTGGACCTGGGGTCCCCTCCCTGTGATGCCATCTCAACCTGGCCCACCTGCCCTCTCTCACCAGCCTTCAATTGTGGTCTCTTGGGAAGGGCCTCTTTGGCCTTGTCTCTCTTTACAGAAGTAGTTTTGTTCATGAAATAAAGATTCTTGGACTTGAGTCTGCAGTCTGTCATGAGCATTCTCAACTTCTGGGCCCCCCAACCCCCAACCCCAGGGCCCTATGGTGTTTCTTGGGCCATGACTACATTTAGGGTTACCACCAGGAGCTGGTGGCTTGCTTAGTGCTTGGTTAATGCTGAGGTTTGGGGGGAGGGTTAATTAGCTCAGTAGGATGGAAGGAGTCAGGACAGCAGCCCAAAAGGTGGCTGTAGGGTCTTCCAGGACAGGCAACGAGATGTTCTGTGGGGTTTGCGGTGCCCTGAGTACTGTGGGTAAGACTTGGTGGGAGGGGGAGAACAGACAGAGATACAGACACAGAGAAACAGGGACAGAGATACACAGAGAAACAGAGAAATAGAGACATGGAGAGAGATAGAGACAGAGAGACAGAGCAGACACACAAAAAAAATAGAGACAGAACACACACCTGCAGAGAGAGAGAGACAGAGAGAGAGGAGAGAGAGAGAGCAGGTCCACTGGCAAAGCTGAACCAGTGTATCCCCTGTGGACAAGGACAGGCCCAGGGGGCACATGGGGGCAAGCAGGTGGCCCACTGTGTGGTGATGTCTGCCTGGGCCACAGGCAGGTGTGACTGCCTCCTGAGCCAGCTGCTGTTTATGTAACCCAGGGTCTCTTGGTGGGGTCTGATGTGTGTACAACTTCCCTGGCTACTGGCAGGACTGGATGCATCCACCTCTAACCACTTCCGGCCACTTGGATTGGGCCTGGGCACCCAGTGTTGCCTTTTCAGGGCCAAGCTCCCCCATCCCCCATCAGGACTTTCCGGGCTCCAGAGGTCACTGGGCAGGCAGCACACTGGCTGCCAAAACAAACCAGCCCCCGTGACTTGTAGGAAAGTGGCTGGGGGAGGGGCCGGGCTCGCTGGGGACAGGAAGGGACAGAGGCACATGGACGGATGGACACTATCAGAGGAGGCCAGGGGGCTGGGCGGAAGCAGAAGCAATTGGACTGGTGAACTAGGGGGACTTCGCGGTCACCAGATTGGTGGACTGGGGCCACCAAAACCTTCTGGCCATCTCATTCCTCCAATTTGGAACCCCATCCTTCAGGCCTTCCAACACCCCAAGTCTGCAGCGAGGCACACCTGAGTCCTGGTGGAGGTGGGAGGCCAGGGCTGGTGGTGGGGCCTGCCTGGCCCAACCCTTGGATACCCAGCCCCACCGGCCAGGTGGCCTCTGTGGCGGCTAGCCCCGGTGTCCGCCCCTCCCCGCCCCGTCCCCGCCTCCTGCCCAGCCCCCTCCTCCTCAGGTGAGGCCGCTGGCCCAGCAGGCCCCACGCTGCTGGCTTCTGCTGCCTTCCCTGCCTCCAGGGCCGCCCGCTGCTGTGGGGACGCCATGCTCCGACCCAGGCCCGGAGACTAACCCCAACCCCGCGCCATCTCCGGCGGACCCCAGGGTAAGGCCCAAGACACAGAGTCCCTTGGCTCCCACCAGCCGGATGCCACCAACCCATACAGAGGATCCCAGGGACCTCCCCGCACCCCATCACTTCCAGCCTGCTTTCTCTGCAGGCTCAGAAATTCATGGAGTCCCCCAGGCTTCTCTTCCCTCAAATTCCCCTAGAAGTTCAGCCTTGGCCCCACCAGGATCAGCCTGGCCACTCCAGGCGTCCCCCTGGTGGCTGGTCACACCTGCCATCGTTGACCCCAGTCCAACCTCCGCCAATGATTACAGAATGCCCAGGGCCTCCAGCTCCCTGGATGGGTGCCTGGGACTGGGGGCGCCAGCACAGAGCCGGGCAGGGCTCCCCCAGGCCGTGCCTCTTGTTCGTCCCCAGGTCCCGCCCAGGCCTGGCAGGTCAACCTGGGAATCATTAACAAGAGTCCATGACATGGCGGAGAAGGAGGGTAAGTACCCCCGTCCCTGAACCCCAGCTTTGGCACTCCCTGATGCCCCTCTTCTGGCCTGTCTTCCAGCCTGCCCCTAGCCCCCTATCTCAGGTTCCCCTGTCAGACTCATGCCCACCCCCTCCTGAGGCTCCTCCACCTGATTAACTATTAACTAACTTTTCTGTGTGGCTGTGCCTTCCTGCCACTCCATATGACCTTCCTGGTGCCTTGCCTCAGTTTCCCCTCATGTCCCAGTGGCTTTTCAGCTGACCCCCAACCTGTCATACTCTTTTGGGCCTGAGGTAGTAGGTGATGCTGCAGTTACTTTCTCCTTTAAGGATACAAATGTAGAGCCAGACACTCAGGTGGCTCCTGCTGCCTTTTGCTGTGACCTTGGCCAAGAAGCATCCCATCTCTGAGCTTCAGTCTGCCCCTCCCTGGGGTCAAGTGTGGATGGATTTTACTATTCCCTCTGTGACGTTGTTGGGAACATGGAACATACCCGCAACGGCTTGGGGCTCAGGACCTGTGTCCTAACTCAGAGATGTCCTGACAGAGATTGGTAGACATGGGGATCCAGGGACCCACAACCCTTGCCAATTCCAGACATTCCTTCCACCTCCCAGCTGTGTGGGTGAAAGAACAGAAGGGAGACTTTGGACTTGGCCTGGATGGATGGAGAGGGAAGAAACAGAAACGCCAGCCCAGGGGTGACTGAGAGCCACTCCCAATACAGTGGCTCCCAATGCAGCTAGCCTCTCTCTCTGCCTTGTCCATACTTGGAGACCGGCTAGAGAAGTCAATTAGGGTAGCCTCCATCCATCTTCCCCAGAACTGAATCTTGTCTTCACCTGGGAGCTAGGTTAGCTGAGTTCAGTTCCAGCCAGTAGCTGTGGGGCCCTGGGCAATCCACCCCCTCTGGGCCTCCATTTCCTCTGTAAAATAACTAGAGTATGTGGTGTGAGCATTTAACTGACAGAAGGCGGGAAGTACGGAGTCTTGTGGGCCAAATGACGAGCTAGGTGTCTGCCCCTGCGGTCACAGTCTCAGCTGCAACTCAGAATCCAGATGAGCTGTGGTCCGGTATGAACCTAGGCTTCCCTCCACTGGATGAATAGACAAATGGTGGAGCATGGTGCCTTGGGATGGTTTCTTCCCTGGAGATGATTGAAGGGAAGATACCAGGGAATGACCCAGGGAATGATCCAGGAAAGAACAGCAGAGAATGTCCCTATGGACAGCAGTGGGTCTGGCTGCAAAAAGAAGCAGAACACGCTCCCTGCATCCCAGGCATCTTGTCCCGCTCTAGCAGGACAACTATGTGAAAGCTGGAAGGTTAATGCTAACAGCCCCATCCTTGTAACAGTGGTGGGGATTGAAGGGACTCCCAGGACAGGATGAGGTAGGACAGGGCTATAAGTGGTGTGTTAGCCCAAGAGCCACTGTGGCAGAGGCTGCTGGTGATTATAGGACTGTAATGGCCATGGACGTGTGCTGTGGGCTCCCGGCGCTGCTTACTGATGCAGGGGACTTGGGGTTGGAGGGAGTGATAGCTGGAGTTGCAACTCAAACTGTGAATGGGGAGGAGGGAGGGTGTGCCAGGCAGGGGAAGAACAGGGTTGGAGGTGAAGTGCCCATGTGCGGAGTGCACAGTGCTAGTGTTTGCAGGGGAGCTAGAAGTGGCGCCTGGGAGGAGACCAGCCTCAGGAGAGTCCCTGGTACTGTGGGGTCTCGCCACAACATATCATCAGTGGGTACTTTAATGGCTGTCCTTTTTCTTTTTTAATATTTTGTTTATTATTTTTATTTTATGTGTATGAGTGTATAGCTTGCATGTAGGTAGGTGCACCTGTGTCCTACGATATCTACGGAAGTCAGAAGAGGGCATCGGATCCCCTGGAACTGGAGTTATGGAACTGGAGTTATCGTTAGCCACCATGTGGGTGCTGGGAATCAAACCTGGGTCTTCTGCAAGAGTAGCCAGTATTCTTAACCACTGAGCCATCTCTCCAGCCCTTTTTCTTTTTTTCTTTTTTTTCTTTTTTTGGGACAGGGTCTCCCTGTAGCCCCAGCTGGCCTGGAACTCACTATGTAGACCAGGCTGGCCTTGAACGCACAGAGATCCGCCTGTCTCTGCCTCCCGAGTGCTGGGATTAAAGGCGTGCGCCACCACGCCCGGCCCTTTTTCTTTTTTAACCCTGAAATAATGAGGATCAAACCTGGACTCACACATGCTAGGCACCTACTCTACCATTGAGCTACACCCCAACCCTTCACTGATCTCTGAGTCTAGGTAGTGCTCTACCACTGAGACACACCCCTATCCCCTTACTGGTAAATTCTAGACAAGTACTCTACCACTGAGCTGTGTCCTTAGCCCTTTTTTAAAATCTGACATAGAGTCTCAGTACACCCAGACTACCCTCAAACTTACAACCCTTCTGCCTCAGAAAGCTGAGGTGACAGGCCTCTCATTGGTACTCAGTTCTACTGGAGGGACTGTTCAATGGAAGGTCTCTTAGGTTTGGGATAACAACCCACATAGCTATCTGGGAATTTAAAGAAACTTATTCAGGCCTCTGCTCTCTGAAAGTCATGTGTATTCCAACAGAGGCTGGGAACGCTGGACAGAGAGCACCAGGGAAGCCCTAGAGGGTTCTGGGTAGAGAAGGGACTGTTTGGGATACCGATATTTTCCAAGGCTTCTGTGTGGAGGGGGCCAGAGAGGAGATGAGCCAGTGGGACAGGATAGCTGTGGGGCCAGGGCCTGGCAGGCAGGAACTGCCAGGCTCTACCAGGAGGAGAGTATCCTGCAGTTGAAGGCAGTTCTGGGGGTGAGGGCTCTGAGAAAAGACCTGTTTGGGGAGTTAAATTTTGAGAGGCACTGAGGCCAGCATGGGGCATGGTATGGGCCAAGGGATTTGGAGGCTCCAGGGGAGGGTGTCTAGAAGCTGTGGGAACTTTGAGTTGGTACTCAGAGAAGAGTCCAGGGTCCGGCATGGTAGACCAAGTCTTGATGACAGGCATGTGGCACTGTGTCCAGCTCTCACGCCTCATCATTTTCTTCACGTTTATCCCTCCGTAAGTCGCAACTTGCCTTGAATCACCCAAGCGGGAACTTCCCTGGGAAGATCCTGTACCACTCCCTCTTCTGCTCCTGGTGGTGGTTTGGTAGTGTGCCCACCAGTCAGGCTCTGAAGGGTATGGATGGGAGAGCTGGGGCTCCTGCGACCCTGAGAGCATTCTGCAGCAGCCAGGCCCAAGCAGAAGCAGCAGAACGCTTTTCTTAGCAGCCATTGGCTTTGGGTGTTCCCACACCTCCTAGCGAAGGGCCTTCAGTCTCCAAAATCTCTGTTACCCTGGGAATAAAGTTTGCCTTTCTGGTCAACCAAGCTTCTCAGCCGGGGTTTCTACAGCCTGTCCAAGCACAGCCAATGAGCTACCTCTCTCCCCACTACAGCCCTGCAGCCCTCTTAACAGAGCCACATTCTCTCCTGCTAGTCTTAGTCTGTTCAGTTCCTTGTGTATCGGTCTTAGCTGGAAAGTCTCTTCCTGGGGAGCCCTGGCCCCTTCAGAACCCTCACCTGCTGCCCCACCCTGTGTTATTTTTCTTCTTTCATAATCTAGAAATGGCCAGAATCATTGGTTACTTCTTTTTAGAAATATTTATTTATTCTTATTTTATGTATTATGTATATGAGTGTATTGCCTACATGTATGTAAGTGCACCTGTGTCATGCAATGTCCTCAGAGGTCAGAAGAGGGCATCGGCTCCCCTGGAACTGGAGTTACAGACAGTTGTTAGCCACCATGTGGGTGCTGGGAATCGAACCCGGGTCCTCTGCAAGAGCAGCCAGTGCTCTTAACCTGTGAGTCATCTCTCCAGCCACCATTGGTTACTTCCTAATGCTCCTCACTCCCTGCTCACCATGAGAGAATGGGAGCCTTATGGGAGGCTCCTCTAGTTTGAGGGTCTCCTTCCAGAGTCAGAATGGTGCCAGGCACCCAACAGTTAACAGACAGACAAGGAATAGAGCTCCATCATAACAGCTGAAAAGCACCGAGGCTCAGAGAGGCCATGACAGTTGGCCAGGATCACACTAATGACTTACAAAGCATTTATTGAGGACTTGATATATGCCAGGCACAATGGCATGACAAGATGGTGGTTTGGCTTCCTGGTTATATATGTTGGACCTGGCTCCCAGTGTACCCAGGGTTCAGGATGCAGCCCTGTCAGTTGCAGGTTAAATCATTGGGGGACATGTGATTCACCTTCTCTGAGCCATGAGAAATATGAGCACCATGATATGGGTCAGATATGGAGACTGAACATTGGGGGGCATGGCAGGCAGCTGTCAGAGTTTCACTGTGATGATTTTAAGAATTTAAAGTCATTTAAGAAGCAGGTGCTAGGTGCATGTTCATTTAACAGATGAGGAGACTGAGGCTCACAGAGGTGGTACCACTTGCCCAAGATCCAAGCCAAGAAAGGGTAAGGCCGCATCTTATTTTTTTCCACTTATTTATGTATTTCTATGTGTGCATGCAACATATGTGTGTGAATGTGGTGTACGTGTGTGTGGTGTATATGCATGTGTGTGTGTGTAAGCCTGTACATGCTCGTACATGTGTCCTGCCCTATCACTCTCCTCCATATTCCCTTGAAACAGAGTCTCTCACTGGACCTGCACCTAGGCTGGTGGCCAGCAAAATCCACCAATCTTCCTATCTCCACAGTGCTGGGATTATATATGTATACCATCACACCAAGCTTGTTACACGGATCCTAACTCAGTCTTCAGGCTTATCCAGCAAGTGCTCTTTTACATTGAACCTTCTCTCCACCCTCGAGGCTGAGACAAGGTCTCCCTGTAGCCCAAGCTGGCCTGGAACTCACTATGTGGACCAGGCTGGCCTCGAACTCACAGAGATCCGCCTGCCTCTGCCTCCCGAGTGCTGGGATTAAAGGCAGGCGCCAACACGCCCAGCTAAGGATGCTATTTTAATTTTAATTTATTTTTTTAAAAATTTTATGTGCTGGTCTACATAATGAGTTCCAGGCCAGCTGGGGCTACTGGGAGACCCTGTCTCAAAAAAAGACCAAAAAGAGAAAAAAGATTTTGTTTATGAATATGTATGTATATATGTAAGTTTATGAATACGTATGTAAGTGTACTGCATATGTGCAGTTCCCAGGGAGGTCAGAAGAGGGCGCCTGATTCCCTTGGAACTGGAGTTAGCTGCCATGTTTGGTGCTGAGAACTGAACCAAGGTCCTCTGCAAGAGCAGCCAGTGTTTTTAACCACTGAGCCACCTCCCCAGTCCCAAAAGTACTATTTTTAAAGTGAGATTGCTAGGTATGATGGCCCAAGCCTGTCATTTTAGCACTCTGGCGGCTGATGCAGGGGGATCATGAGTTTGAGGGAAGTTTGGGCTACATGGTAAGTTTCAGGCCAGTCTTGTTATGTAGCAAAACCCTGTCTCCAAAATAACAATAATTATTATTAATAATAATAAAGTGAGTTTGGCAAAATTTTTAACTTGGTTTCTTGATAGTCTTGACAGTGCCACACACCTTTAATCCCAGCACTCAGGAGACAGAATCAGGCAGATGTCTGAGTTTGAGGCCAGTCTGGTCCTACATAGTGAATTCCAGGCCAGCCAGAGCTACATAATGAGATCTTATCTCAAACCAACCAAAACAAAACAAACTTGGATTCTCAGCTTCCCAGGGACAAATCTGATCTTGGAGCTGGGCCCAATGAGAGAGAGAGGTCTGCCTTGAGGGTTACCAAGAGAGTCAAGGTCAAAGGTCACAAACCCCAAGAATCTTCAGGAACCTCTGGAAAAGTTTGCAGGAGAGAAGGGTACAAGGCCGGCAGCACGAAGCCGTGAAGGAAGTCTAGAAGTGCCGTGTCATCAGAGAGGAACAGCTGCCAGTGCAGGGAGGAGACAGACTGGCAGAGGTGGCAGTGGGCCCGGCCATGCCCCCTTCCCAGCTGGAGCCCGAGGGGAGCCGGACACCTGGCTGTCCATGAGACAGGGGAGGGACAGTCCTGCCAGTGGCCCAGCCCCAGGAAATGAGGCCTGGGGCACTGCAGGCACAGGCCTGGTAAGGTAGCCCTTGGTGGTGGGGTAGGGTGCTGGCCCACTGCCCACCCCCTTCGGTGCTGAGAACAGGCCTGGCAGTGGCCCCAGCTTGGTGTCTGTTGCAGGTGGTCGGCCTGTGCCATGTTACTCTAGACCTAAGGTGGCAGCTCTCGCGGTGGGGACCCTGCTGCTTGTGACTGGCATCGGAGCAGCATCCTGGGCCATTGGTGAGAATATCTCCCCCTCACCCTCTGCCTGAGGCCTCCCCCTGCCCTGAGGGCTGCAGCTTGCCTGCCCTCACCTTTACCTTCTCTGCAGTGACCATCCTACTCAGGAGTGACCAGGAGCCGCTGTACCCAGGTGAGTAGAATAGGGTGGAACCCTCAGGGTTCCCTGGAGGAAAACGGCGTGTGGAGGAGCTATGAGGATTTCTGAATGAATACACATGCCCGACCCTTGACAGTGCATTTGCATTGAGTCCCTGCCACACTGTTCGAAACAAGGTCTTGTTCTGTAGCCCAAGTTAGCCTGGACTCATCCTGTAGCCCAGGCTGTCCTCAGACTAGAAATATTCTTCCTGCCTTAGCTTTCTTAGTGCTGGGATTACAGGTGTGAGCCACAACTAGGTCTCAGGCTCTAGTCCAAACAGGGAGGTATCTCCCATCCCAGTATACGCAGACCCAACCCTGCTTAGCTTCTGAGGTCAGTCTCCCTAGGGCGGGTATGACTGTTGACAGTCACCTCACATGTCCCATCCAGTGGAGTTCAGGCTCCCAAGGAGCCACTCATGGGTGCACTATTTGGCTTAATTAGGTAGTGCTAAAAACTCCATTTCTTTTTTTATTTTTTTATTTTTATTTATTTATTTTTTTTTTTGAGGCATGATTTCATGTAACCCAGGCTGGCCTCAACCTTACTATGTAGTAGAGGAATCCTGAACTCCTGATCCTCCTGCTTCCGCCTCCAGGGTGCTGAGATTACAGATGTGTATACTACACCTAGTTGAAAACACTTTTTTTAAAAAAAAAAAAAAAAGCCTAAAATTGGAACTTGGGCTGTTTGATGGTTCAGCTGATAAAGTACTTGTCTTGCAAGCATAAGGACCTGAGTTCGAGCCCCAGAGCCCAGGTGAAAATGCTGGGCGTGATAGAGCCCATTTGCAAACCCAGTACGGCGGGGTGGGTGGGGGGGTGTTGTCAGAGACAGGTGGATTCCTGGGGCTACCTCACCAGTGCATCAACCTAGCATAATTGGTGAGTCTCAGGCCAGTGAGAGAACTTGCCTTAAAAAGGAAGGTAGGTAGCACTTAAAGGATGTGACCTGAGGTTGTTCTCTGACCTCCACAAGCACACACACACTGGTGGACACACATACATGCACACGCACAGAGTCTGAAACAGATTCCATTTGAAAATATCAAAATTTGTCACTCCTGGTAATAGAAAAGGCTCATTTTTTTTTTTGCTTGTGTTTTATATATTCACACACATACAGCCTGAAGTCCTTTAATATGGGGCTGTTATCCTCCCCCTTTACACAAGGAGAAACTGAGGCTTGGTATGCTCCAGACCACAGAGTTCTTGTTACAGTATGAATCATGATGAAAACGTGTACGGTGGGGTGTGGTCAAAGCATGTTTCAGAGGCATGGGGTGTATCCAGCAGACTCCTAGCCGAGGAAGTTGTGGCTTCTAGCTGCTCCTTTTTATGAATATGGGATGTAAAGACCATAGAGAGTACGTAAGGATGGAGCCAGGGCCATGGTCAGACTTGTGGGTGTGTCTGCAGCATGGGGGCTGAAGGAACAGGCTTCCTCAAGGTCAAGTCCAGACTGGGGCACTGTGACCCTGCACAGCAGGAAGAAAGGGTGGTGGGATGTGTTTTCCGTCAATGAGCCTTCTCAGATTCAGTAAAGGAGTCACACTGAGAAGAAATAAGCATCCACATTTGAACAATCAGCGTCACAATCAGCCATCCTGACTGCACTGAGAAACACTGATCCCTGGGCTATGGTCTGGCCCCTGAACTTGATGGTACTCCTACAACAGCCAGTTTTCATATGGGGAAACTGAGGCACAGAAAGGCCAAGGGTTGGACTTGGTGATCCATGCCTGTAACCCCAGTGCTCAGGAGGCAGAGGCAGGAGGATTGTGAATTTGAGGCTAGCCTGGGCTACATAGTAAGCTCCTGTCTCTTGCCCAGGTCATGGAGCTGCTTAGTGGCAGACTGGGGTCAGGCAGTCAGATGGCAGTCCTGTGTAAACTCTTGCACTGTTGTTTGTCAAGAAACAACTGAACTCATTGCCCTAGTGAAAGCTAACATGATAGGCCCTGGCTGCAGCCTAAGACTATTGTCACCCCAGTGTTTTACATGTGGGAAACAGGCTCTTTGAAGTAGACTGACTTGCCTAGCACTATAGGTGAATAATTGGCCCTAAGGCTGCACATGGCACCAGGATGGAATCCCAACTCCTTACAGGCTCTTGGAATGTGAGCCTGTCGGCCAGCACACCCATGCTTGTGGGTCTCTCTGAACTCTAATCACTAGGCTTCCCCTCGTGCCCTAAATACCCCATCCCTCCAGCGCCTTTTCAAAAATACATAAATATAACACTGCTGATTTAACCTAGGGTCTTGTACCTGCTCAGCTACTTAGCAAGTGCTCTACCCCCTCAGCCACGCCCCCAGCCCCTCACTAGTGGAGGCTTAAGTAGATGCTGTAGCTAGGCATGGTGGCACATGCCTTTAATCCTAGCACTCCGGAGGCCGGTGGATTTCTGTGAGTTTGAGGCCAGCCTGGTTTACATAGCGAGTTCCAGGTCAGCTGGAGCTACTGGGAGACCCTGCTCCAAAAGATAAAAAAACAAAAACAAAAACAAAAATAACTAAGTAGATGCTCAACCACTGAGCCACACCTCAGACTCTCACTGGTGGATTCTAGGCAGGTGCTCGACCACTGAGCCATACCGAGCCCTTTTTTACTTTTCATTTTGAGACAGGCTTTTGCTAAGTTGCCCAGGCTAGCCCTGAACTCACTCTGTATTCCAGGCAGGCCTTGAACTTGAGATCCTCATGTTTCAGCCTTCTCAGTAGCTAGGCTCACAGGCTTGTGCCTCCAGACCTGGCTTTCTGGTACCCTCTTGCACCCAAGCCATGACTCACCATCCCCCACGTGGAGCCAGGGTTCCATTCTGTGACTTCTGAACTGTGTGTCCCACACTAACCCTGAGACTTTGGAGAGCCTCTACTTCCTGGTCTGGGATATGAGGCAAACAGAGTCAAGGCGGGAGGGGAGAGGAGATAATTATCTTGCATATCTATGTAGTACCTAGCTCTTAGCTAGGAGCTTAACAAACACTGGCATTTCTTCCTCGCCCAAGTTTTGGGCTCCTTGAGCAAGCCCTTCCTGAAGTTGACCCTACACACCCATCTCAACCATCATAGCCACCCAGCTGCCCTGATGGAACCCTCCTCACACTGATACTCAATTATTTCCTGCAGCTTTCTAGGAAGGCGGGGATGTTTTGTTTATGGGTCAGGCAGCTCATGACACATAGTAGGCATTCAGGCATGAAGAAGAGCTAGGTACACCCATAATCCCAACACTCAGGAGACTGAGACCAAGGGAACAAAAGTTTGAGGCCAGCGTGTGCTGTGTAGTGAGACCCTTTTTCAGAAAACCAAAACTTAAAAGAAAAAAAACATAAAGGAAAAATCTGAGCTCCCAAACTGGAAAAACACTGACTGTGATTCCTACTCAGCTCAGGCTGACACCTGCGCCCTTCAGAAGAACTTTCCAGAACACTGGGAAGTGATGGCACAGACAAGCAAACACAAACAACCCTGACTGTATCTTCACTTTGTTTCTGTTTTTTTTCCCTGGGATTTTCACACCGCTAAATGTAGCCGGCAAACTGGTGAGCACGCCTGGTAATCCACAGCATACCGGTTTTGCTTAGAATAATATAGACAAGGGGGAAGGACTTTAAAGTCACTAACAACAGCATAGAATGTGGCTTTAGAGCAAACTAGAGGCCTGGTGAGGTGACTCATGCCTTTAATCCCAGCATTCAGGAAGCAGAGGCAGGCAGATCTCTTAAGAGTTTGATCTACATAGGGAGGCCACCAAGGGTACATAGTGAGACGCTGTCTCATAAAAGGAAGGAAGGGCTTAGGGGTGGTGGGATGGCGTATGCCTTTAATCCCAGCACTCGGGAGGCAGAAGCAGGTGGATCTCTGTGAGTTTGAGGCCGACCTGCTTTACACAGTGAGTTCCAGGCTAGCTGGGGCTACTGGGAGACCCTGTCTCAAAAAAGACCAAAAAAAAAAAGGAAGGAAGGAAGGAAGGAATGAGGGATGGACGAATGGGAGGCAAGCCAGGTGTAGGGCTCACAGCTGTGCTACTTGGGAGGCTGAGGCAGGAGGATCTCAAGTTCCAGGTCTGCTGGACTAGAAAGCAAGATCCTATCTTGATAAAAACAGAAACAAACACCCTCCCCAAAAAGGAAGGCATTTGCTATTTCTTTCCCCTCCCTCACTTCCTTAACACGTCCGTAAACTAATTTATTTTCCAAAAAAACCCCAATATGTTAGACATTTCTGGAGCAGTCAGAAATGGTGTTAAAATAAGGTGCCAACCAATTCTGAGCTGCTGTCTTGGTCTTGAAGTTCAAGAGATGGTAGGTACCACCTAGCGGAAAATGCCAGGCAGCCCTTGCTGAACCCCTAGGGTGGGAGGCTTTGATCACAGCAAGCTGCCCCTGTAGTGCTCAGTACTGCTGAACATGGTACAGTTCTATGCAGGAAAAGGTAACAATTCCTGGGAGATCCATGCCAGGGGCAGAGAGTATGGGAATTGTAGGTCTGAATTCAAATCCTGGTTTACTAGTTATTAGCTGTCTGCTCTGAACAAGTATATCCTCTGAGGTATAGAATATATGTATTTATTTGTGTAGGGGATTGGACCCAAGGCATCATACAAGGTAGGCATGTGCCCTACCACTGAGCCACACCCCAGCCCCTCACTGGGGGATTCTAGGCAGGTCCTCTACCACTGAGCCACACCCCAGCCCCTCACTGGGGGATTCTAGGCAGGTGCTCTACCACTGAGCCACACCCCAGCCCCTCACTGGGGGATTCTAGGCAGGTCCTCTACCACTGAGCCACACCCCAGCCCCTCACTGGGGGATTCTAGGCAGGTCCTCTACCACTGAGCCACACCCCAGCCCCTCACTGGGGGATTCTAGGCAGGTCCTCTACCACTGAGCCACACCCCAGCCCCTCACTGGGGGATTCTAGGCAGGTG